TAATATTATTTACCACCCTGTACATTCTGTATAGTAACAATTTTTCTTAAATTACACTTAGGTATTAGAATAGACAATGTACAGACTTTTCAAAGATGATTATTTTGTGTCTTTATAGGATATTCTCAGAAGTTTTATGTCACTCATAATTATTGTTTAAAATGATCAGGATTTACTTTAAGTCGTCAAACCATGTGTTTCGCAATATATGTAGAAAACGAATGCATCAAAATTTGTTCCATGATTACTGTAATATTATCATCAATTCTTATTTACACAGTGAGTACCAATATTATTCAATAAGGTTTATTTTCAAGTTTTTTCCGCTGCTGTCACTGCGGTAAAAATAATCGAAATAGTGATTCGAATAGAGAAAATTGTTTCCGATAGAAATACCAGAAAATCAAATGGTTAGTTTTTCAGTATCTTCTAGAATAGGTAAATATAATTTTGTTTAGATTGTACAGAACGATAAAGTTAAGAATTCTCTACAAAATGAGATATTTCAGCATTCTTTGAAACGGTTTTTTTGACTGATATACAACAATCTTACGTAAGCTGCCAAAGTCGTTTTTTTCTAAATTTCCTAATAGAAAAAAAACTATGTTTTGACCTTCAATCATATTGCTGTATCTCAACCATAAAGCTAGAATTTTGGTTTTCTGAAGTTCCTATCTTTATGAATATGATGATTACGGTGATCGTGGAACAAGCTTTATGCATTGGTTTTCTACATATGGTTTCATGATTGAGAATAGATCCTGATCATTTGAAGTAATGATGATAGATGAAATCTTCTGAAATAAAAATTCCAAGAATATCCTATCAGATGATGAAAAGTTCATGTAAATCGTTAGAGTTTGATTTTACGGTTGGCTTTTGGAATATTCTGTAACTACTTGATAAATAATCAAAAGATAATACTAAGCAAGAGTCAATATCTAAACGCAAAATTATTAATATTAATGTAATTTCTGATTGAAAAGTAGAATTTGACATTGCACATTATGAAACGAACAAAGATAACGATGTAATTATTCATACATTTACGAATTGCTTTTATTATTTCAGATCTTAAGAGTTGCAGCATGAGGTCAGTGTTAATGTTTTAACAAGTGAATTTCCTTAGTATGACAATCACTCAGAACTTTTATCTCTATTCTACTTAAATCAACAGAGAACTGAAATAAACTAGAGGGCTGCAGGTTACGCTATTTTGACAACCTCTAACCTGCCCTGCTGAAATTTTGACAACCTGATCCTGCTCTGCCCTGCAAGTTTTTTTCTGTATCCTGCCATATTCTGCCCTGCCCTGTTTTCTTTAAAACTAAAGAAAATTCCAAACTTTCGTATTAGTTCATTATAAAATTTCATTTCGATTTGTTACAATCATGAAGCAAAAAACAACAACATTATGTATCTCGGAAATTTCTAATCATCAAAATATCATCAACAATATCCGAATTTAAAAGCTATCTTCTCTTTTCTAATATTCGATCTGATGAACTAAGCACACACTCCGGCATGGGTATGCATCGTCTCTTCACACCCACACCCTATCAAGAGTTCTGTTGTTTTTTAGTGTATTTGATTCATCTAAGCAATTTTTAAAACGATAGTTACTAGTAGAAGTTCCATTTGATATGGAATATAATAATATCTCATAGCACAATCCACATTTTACAAACGGTGGATATTCATTATTTAAACGTTTAATGCGTAATAAATGTTCCCAAAATGCACCATGACATGATGATGGTGGTTCTATTGTAGCTATAAATTCACCAGTTATAAGTTTTTCTATCATCCACTTCTTTTTTCGTTCTATATCTTTTTTTTTTGAATTAAACATAGTTGATATTTCACTAGCAGAAAACTCTAACCGATATTGATGATGATAATGAAGAAAAGATCAAGATAAAAGTCAGAATAAGAAAACTAAATGCAAACTTGAGTAGCCATATTACGCATAATGGGATAGGTTACCAACATATTTGCTTCTATTAAATATCTTTGCGACCAATCTAAATTGATTTTTCAGTTCGCTTTTGCTTCTATTTTTTTTCTTAATGTATAACTTTAGAAAAGAAGTCGACAATATCTAGCGCATAAAAATCGTCACGGGTTGACAGGTTACGATAATCGTACCCTGCAACCTGGCCTGTAAAAATTTTCATAACCTGACCTTGCCCTGTCCTGGCAGGACAAAACAGGGCAGGTTATCTACGCCCTGCAGGGCTCTAAAATAAACTAATAATTATCTTTTGTTCACTTTCAAACATCATTTATCAGTCCACTGTTTAATATCCTTTTCCCTACTTTGTCGACTCTGAGCATTTTATTTTATTTTTCATCGAAATTAAACATTTTTTTTTTCTACAAATACAAACATTAATAAAAATCACTGATCAATACAACCACTATTCATATACTGCATCAATTCATATTATTAAACATAAAATGTAAAGAAATATAGAGTTGTTTTTTTTTTTCAATGAATACTTAAGGTATAAAAGCTTTCAGACATCTTCGTATACATGTTCCACAACATTTTTCACCTGTTTTACAATCAGCATCTGAATAACATTGTGGAACACATGGAAATAATGTATCTGTATTTTCAGCAGGCATTGATGGACAACATCCCTCATGTTCTTTTGGACAACAATAAGGTTTATTATACCATGAATGAATTTTACATAATCCACCTGCTAATAAACATTTTTGATCACCTTGACCACAAGATATATAATAAAGTGGTTGACCATATACACACGGATTGCATTCACATATTGGACAACTATTTCGAATTATATATCGTTTACATTTCACTGGACAATCAGATAGAAATAGACATATAGGTTTTTTAATGATAAAGTCTTTTTTTTCATTTATTGAAAGTGTTGATTGAACATTAAATGTACCAATAAATGTAAGAAGAAGAATGAATATGAGTTGCATTGTAAAAAATATCGTGTGATTTTTAATTGAAAAGTGAGAATAAACATACAATATTTATATGTTTGTTTGCTTAATCTATCTTTTTATTGATGAAAGAAAAAAAAACAAAACGCAAATATGAGTCAAGATGTAACGTCATACATAGGTAGTAAATGGTCCAATTGTATGATATACTATTCATATTCGAAGTTGGATTTCAATGAAAAACCTAAGTAACAGTCTATTTTTTTCTTGTGATCGACAAATTAAAATGTTTATTGACTTATCATATATAAATAGTTTAAGATGATCATGAAAAAACATCAAACAAACAATTTCTCTCATCATACAATTTTCCTTAATGTTATTCATCATCTTCATAACATTGTCAAGCTACCAGACGATTATACATCAGGGATAAGAGTTCAGTTAGAATTCCTGTGGATCTTTTCAGACGCGAGTGCACAGAAACGTGGATCTACAGTTTCCTAAATTCAGTAGCATAAAGATTTTGAGTTTAGGATTATGTGTCTTTTACTATTTAGAGTGGGAATAAGAAGTATATAACTATAAAACTTTTGTAGAATATTGATTTTCTCTTCAAAATGATTAAATCGTTAGATATTTGTGTTTTTCTAAAGTCTCAGATAAACAAAGATTATAAGTTCTTTTGAATTGAGAAAAAAACTTCAAAACACTATTGATATTGAAGTTTAAGAATTAGATATTTTTCATGTCACAAAATGATGACATTTCCAAAGTATTAACATCATGAATATTATCTACTTTCATTAAACTTTTTTGAATTGTTTTAAAGAAAAAAAAAAGAATTTCTTCAAGACATAATATGTAAACTAATAATATTATTGATCATGAGTTTATATTAATTAAGCAAAAAAAGAATGGTCTAATTCAGAATAGATTTTGATGTTCTGTCTAAATGCATTCAAATAAGGTGTAACTAACCGAGCTGATACCAGTCGGAATTACTGAAAAAAAAAATGTTCGTTTATCGATATATTGAATTTTCACGTAAATTAAATTTTTGTGACAAACAACCATGTTTTGAAAACTCAATATACCGACAAAAGGAATATTTTCTTCAGTTTAATACCTAAAACTAGATCGAAAATTCGGTAAAAAGATCATAACTTGGCTTCGGCGGCTCATGGACACAAACTTTTTTAGGATTTTTCTAGTCCAACCGATATCTCCTTGTGAATTCAATATGTGCTAGAACAACAAGTATCAGTTCGGGTAGTTTCCGCGTCATTCGTAACTGTTCTGAATGATATTTTCGAATATTTTTTAATTCTTTATTTCTGTATGGCATTTACTTATCCACGAAATTATGAATTACAGTAAGCTTGATGTCGAAGAAATACTCTTTTTTATCGGACAGCATTTTTCAAAAAAAACAAAATATGTGTTTCAAAATTTTGCCATTTAAAATGCACTAAATTTTAAATCTTTGTAGAATAAATTTTGCTTTAGACGTTGGTATATAAAAAGAATTGTTTATAGTTTGAGATGAAATAGTTCTAATCAATTGCCAGTAAAAAAAAAAACTCCTAACATATGTGCATAAAGAATATTAATTTCTGATGCTAATTATTTACTTTTGATCTTCTCCTGTTATTTATAAGTAGTGTCTGTTGGGTTCAAAAGTTTTTAATCCGGTTAATAAAATCTTCTAACTTTAACACAAGTTTTTTATTTGACTCGGACAATCGCTCCAAAAATGTGAAATACTTTTTATTAAAATTGGCCATTAATTTTAGAGTAGAATCCGTTTGGTGAATTCCCAACAAACATATTGTACAAACACCATTGACATATACATAAAATTGATATTTTTTAATCATCTTTCATAGTTTATTATATTAATTAAATGAAAAAAAATATGTAA